TATGTGTGTGACTCTTGGTTTATGCTACAGGTAAACGTGGCTCCATATGGTTAATCAAAGTCATTTTAGCAACCACAGTCTTCCATACGTCTAAAATGTTCAACTCTCTGATAACAAATGTATATGGTTTTTACATATCACTGCCATTAACAGGTAGTGAACAACTTTTACAAAGAAATGAATTAAATCTTTGGATGATACATAGCCTGGTAAACCTGACTAAATGGGAGATGAAAGGTGTTATTTAGTCTGGCCCCTGATGAATGAGACAATGGAAGATTGTTAATGAGAACAACCCGTTGTTTTTCAACCATGTTTGTGCCTATTGGCCAACACTCTGACCAATGAGCGCAACTGACTGTGACGTAGTAAGCGTGACAGAAAGCTGTTGGGGGAGTGTAAACAAACAGCCTGTGGGTAAAACGGCGAATACGTCCTTCTCAGAAATGGATGAGCGTAAAGCCTCTTCCTGCTCACATTTCAACGAAAACCCCAAATCTAATCCTTCCAAAAATCGCCATTAGAGCCAGCGGTCCTTCACACACGACTATGCCGAGAGAGGTCTGCTACAGACGGGCTGCAGTTAGCCCTGGCGGCTGTTAGCTTCGGAGCTCCGCTGGTTGCCGCAGTCCTTTCAACTTCGGAAATTGTTTTTTTTAAATAACGCATTAAATCAGTAAATGGACCACAAAGTGATGCTTTAAAGTTTAATATTCTCCCCTCAAATTATCTTAAAACGTACTTTTATTGAATAACAGCAACAGAAAGAGAACTTTTAACTTTCAACGGAGCGCTCCATTGAAAGCTGCTGCTGACGCAGTCCATGCTACTGGGTCGTGCAGCTTTGTCGTCCTGCCGTCAAAACTCCGCCCGCTTTGCATCCAGACATTCAAAGCATCTCTGCATTGTGATTGGCCCTCCAGATTTAGGGCCTGGGGCATTGATAGAGGCTAGACCAACTCGCAGGCAAAAATGATTTTGGCCGGTGGCCGGTGTGGCTAGTTTACTAGGCTAGATGATACAGGGAGGCATTCAAAATGTTGGAAACCTGTGCTTTCTACTTCTATGTGTAGCATGGTACTGTGCATTTGCCATCTGTGCAAAACACTGGCCCCTAGGGCTGAAAAATGTTTACATTTTTACATATTTGCAATAATGATTTTGTTTTTTATATTCCTTGCCCCCCCCACCCCAAAGACTTGATCAATTCAGGACTATAGTCTTAATGTGAAAATGTGCGATTTGAAAATGGCTTTTTGTTAAATTGTGATTATACTGCAATTGCAAGTAATTGCCCAGCCCTAATCCCCCCTAGAGACCAGCAGAATATCGGGTACAGTGGGGAGAAGCTGCCCAGAGGATAAATGCTACAAAAGTTGTTTTTTTGTTGTTTTTTTTTCAGATTTAGCAAGTCTCATTTCCTTTTGAAAACATAGATGTAACAAAGATAAACCTCGCTTTTGTCCATTTCTTTCCGCCAATGTTAACGCTCCAATTTTCCCAGTCAGTGAAAATAAAGATATTTTTCCTTTTATCTTATTCGAGTGCTTCGTTATCATCTTTAGAAAATTCTCAAATTGTATAAGTTCTAACTCCTGTAATTCTCCAACCAACATTTTTTTAAAGCATGACTTTTTTTAGCACACACCTCTTTTTGGATAAAAAAAAAAAAGAAGAGCTGTATTAAAAAAACATATTTTTCAATTCTCTACCGGATCTGATATACATTTCTCAAGATCACTTCATATAACCAAAAGGCTACTTTTAAAAAAAATACATTTTCCACTGTCCTTACAGCCACCATTAACTGCTATGACTATTAATTTGCTGTTAATTATAATAAAATACTAGTATTCATTAGGGCCGGGAGATTAAAGAAAAATATTTTTTTAGATTTAACTTTTGGAATATCTAGATTTTTTCCAACCAATATTTTCTTTAGGTTTCAGTTGCACTGAGCTGAAACTTAAGTTTCAGCTCAGTGCAACTTCAGTTCATTACTTTCTCAAATCTTTAAATACTTATTTAGCGCATTATATTCTAATTGTTTGTTGTGAGATAAGTATTTTGCAAGCTGTATTGAAAGATGTTTCACAGCTTGAATTTTGTTTCATTTAAACTTAAGGTCACCTACCAGAATGAATGACTGATATTAAAACTGTTTTTTGAAAGAAATATATGTCATTTGTCTTTTTTGTTATAGAAGGTTATTATGAAACTTAAAAATAAATTAATACAATTGTTGGGAGGGGTCATAGAGTAGATTTTTAGGTAATTTTCCAAAGCCCTAGTATGGTTCTCGCCCATATAAATTCATAATACCAGCAATCTAATTTGATGTCAGATCAGATCAAATCTAAATCTTGAGAATTTTAATCGATTCTTGAAATTTGAATTTCTATGCAGCCCTAAAAACAAAATCAACTGCATTAAGGCTATATTTTATCCGGTGGCAGCACTACAGAGATAAAAGGAGACACTAATAATCTGGTGCTAACTGCTTGTTATTTCGTGAAATGGAACAAAAATTTATTCTATTGCACTTAAGGTGTTTACTTTGTTTTTTAATGACAAAAACATATTGAGATTGTATTTTCAAAAACACACTCCAGAGCTGCTGCACTGCCCGATATAATAAATCACCTGAAATATAAAATATGTCTATCAATATTTTCATTCAACATCATGCTTGATATCTTACCTTTCTCAATGGGCTGCTCCTTACACACACTGCTGACTGCCACCTTGGTTTCCTTGCTTAACACAGAAGAAGATGAGATATTGTGTGTCAGCTTTGGAATAATGATGAGTCGACAATGAGGACATATCTATTGTTTGCAATCTTTTTGCATTGGCCAACTTCTCGATAAACGTTGCTTGCATTTGTCAAGGTTTAAGCAGCACACCCCACATTTGCGAGATGTGAGCTTAGCGCAAGATTACGCAAGACTAGAAGGGGAATTCAAGATGGGGGCCCGGTGAAGACTGGATCTGGAAAATTTGAAGATTTGATTGAAGATTCCAGGGGAAAAACAGGCCATACAATTTGTCCTTTTTTTTAAGCAAATGTTGTAAAATGTATGGCTGTATGCATGGCTAGCTAAAAGCCTGACTGCCTCAACTACACAAGTAAACCACAAGCTATCTGTCAGAGTGGGGGTCCAGAGGCAGCCTATTCATTAGTCATTGTACTCATTGCTTTACATTTACATACAAAATGGGTTTCTTTAAATCGATATTAGGAACTTAAAGTTCATAATTTCAATATTATATTGGGCAGTGAAAAATCACAATATATTGCCAAATCTATTTTTTTTTTCTCCCCCACATTACCCCCGCATTAAGACTATGGACTGCCAATAAGACTATGGACTGCCAGTAATTTTGAACTTAGAAAACAAATCTACAAATTTAATGACAATAGGTATATCAAACAATACAAATTCATGCAACATACACATTCATGTCTTTCATTTAAGTAGAAATCAAGAGAAATGAATCACAAGATTGTATCTCTCTCCATAGGATCATTTCCACTACTCACTATCAGGCAACTGTAGGTTTTTATATTCTTACTGATATATTCTGTGGGTTAGAGTACCAACAGTATTCTATCCTATTCAAACGTTGATGTAGAACTTTATGGAGATTATTGATATAAATGGTTTTAATCTGTTTCCTGTTTGTAGAGTCAAAACTAAAGGCAACACGGGGAGAATAAGTGCAACAAAGCAGTAACAACTGTTGATAAATCCTATTGAGGCAACAGTCATTACTAAACTCATAAAATCCAATAAAAAGGATGGTAGACAGGACTTTAATCATCAGACAGTGCTCAGGAAAAGCAACAGGACTTGCTCGATTTTCTTAAAGATATTTCACCTCTCATCAGACAAGCTTTCTCACTTCCCAGAAAAGCCTTTAGGCTCTATTTAAAAAAAAAAAAAAATCAAGCAAGTGCAAACGCCTTAGCTGAATTCTCACAGATAATTTATGTCTGTTCAAAGGACTAGCTAATGCTTTCAAAACTACTGCTTTTCACCTCTTAAATATTTATGTGTTAATGTGTGCTTAATTTCATGAGCTTTCTGCCACATTTTGATTAAAAGACATCTAATGCCAGCCATGAAAATTTATATTCATGGTGGCATCTCTACCCTCACTGTTCACTGTTTTGTTTTTCAGTAAAGCAGAGCATTACATATATCAAAGGAGCAATTTAGAGTTTCATTACCTTAGCAGTCCAATATTCTGCACACATAACCTTTTGTAACTTAAATAATATTTTGTAACTTAAATGAGGAATTGTTTTGTCTTTTTAGTAGGAACAAAAATTATGGCAAGCTTACATGTGCCAAGCATCTATGAAAAAAAGGAAACAAACTGAAATACTGATGGAAAAGAGAAATCAACCCATGAATGTCTTGAGGAATACTACAACGCAAACTTTAAATCCTGCATAGATTTTACACAATTGTTTAATAGATTTGATTATTAGGAGTAGCTTATAACCACTGATAGTATGTTTTCCACTGGTTTCTGTGTAGAATTACACACAGGTAAATTGGAAAAAAAAAAAATAAAAAATAAAAAAAAAGGGAAAAAATTTGCCTGGTGGGCCGGTCCTAATTTCAGTGTGCGAGGGCCGGCCCTCCTTAAATCATACTGGCTCCAACACTTACTCTCCGACCAAAGCACCTTCCTGTGACAGTAAATAATTCAAGGAGCTCAAAAAGTAATATAATGTTAACTATCTAAATGATGCATGAAGTATATATAGCCCTTCCTTGTGATGCACATCCTTGTGACAGTTGGCATATGGTGTAATTTTCTATTTCTTCTAACTGTAAAATTCTTGCAACAAAGTAAATTATAATAAAACTAAAATGCTTTCTTTAAACCAAACTATGATCTTCCTCTTATATTTGGCTAATTTATGTTTTAATAATTTGCAAAACTATGCTGCAGTGCATTATGGGGTTTTGCATCTAAAGGCTAACATTTCCCATCTGATGTGAATTGTTGCCAGGTTGGGATGTTTCCCAGTCTGGCAGTTTATAATGATCGTCTATGGGTAAAAAACTTTTTTCTTTAGATGTTTGACCTAATAGACTTTGGTTCAAACTGGGTGACATTTTTGTATATACAGGCGGTTTATGAAAAAAAATGTTGCGCTGTAAAACGTGAGTCAGTGACATCTGGCAACCCTGCTGATGTGAGTGTGGACATAAGTGGGCAGTTGTAGATGAAAAATGCCAGGGCTGAAAATCGTTCCCAGTTCGAGCCTGCCCTTCTACCTACTACTTTTCAAATGGTTACTTCTATTTATTATCCGGTGTACAACAGATGTAATCAAAATATTGCATCATAACTTTTGTAGGGGACATAAATAAGCAAACAGCTGTTGGAAAGAAATAGTACCACATATCTATTTATACAAAATTGTTTATTGAAGTTGTTATTATGTTATTTAAGGTCACAAACTAAATGCTTACAGTGATTGTAGTGTTTTTAATTATGAAGGGATGTTAAGGTCTTAGTTTAACTTTTTTTTTAACCATTATATCCAATGTCTATTTAGGAGTCAATAAGTGAAATTTGCCCAATAAAACGCAGGTCATTCATCAGAAATAGTTTGCTGAACGAATTCTTTTTGGGTACACACACAACCATAATTACAACATTTAAAATAATGTAGCAATCTTAATTTGTGAACTAAGCATCCGTTATTTTGCACAATGATAGTTAAATAACCCGCTTTATTCGGTATCTAATATCAGCCAGTTACATAATAAATTGATCAAAACTCTTGAAAATCCCCAACTGGAGCAGAAATGTTCTGTAAATTAGCCATTAGCAAGGCTTAATCTCTATATTCTAGTAGTTTCTAAGCTAATATGTACTCAGAGTTACAATTTATCGATCCTCAACATATAGAAATAAATAATTAAATAAATAAATAAATAAAATACCGTAATAGAAATTCAGATTAAATAATATTAAAGAGGGTTTTTTTTTTTTTTTTTGACAAACATTGCTTGTGAGACAGCAGGCGGTTACCCTTGCGCACCTGCGCCTGTCTCCTCGTGCGCTAGCCGTAAGTGTTACCAAGGTTAAACAAGAAAAAAAAATACATCTGTCCTGCAAACCCCATAGAGGAATTACGATGCACAAACAATATCGCAGCAACACTTACCCCAAATACTGAGTTATTGCTCTGGACTATCGGGCAGTTTTATTGCACTCTTGCGCTGCCTTTCCTTCCACAGCTTGAGACTACCTGAAAAAGGCCGAAGTCTCAGGTGAACATCACCAATTATCGCGATGTTTGGTGGATTACGTTAAAAAAAAAAAAATAATAACGTTTTCTTCTTCTTCTTCTTGTTTTACTGGCGACTTGCAACCAAATGGAGCATTATCGCCACCTACTCAAATAAAGTTTTACTAGTTTTCTACAGCATTCGCAAATCAAAATGGTCGTTAAAATTAAAGATTAGTCAATCAAAAATATATACATAATTTAAAAAACAATAAACGTTTTGCTTCTTTTTTAACCTGCTTTGACCATAACTATTTTTTTATGTAAGATGTTCCCTTTCAGTTTCTACAGAAGAAGATTAGGGCCACTGGAAAAAAAAAAGTTAACTGATTTGTAAATGTAAATATCATTTTAGTTTAATATGGGAAAAAAGTCAGAATTCTGACTTAATCTCAGAATTCTGATTTTAATCTCAAAGTTCTGACTCTTTTCTCAGAATTCTAACTTTAATCTCAGAATTCTGACTTTTTTTTCTCAGAATTCTAACTTTAATCTCAGAATTCTAACTTTAATCTCAGAATTCTGTCTTTTTTTCTCAGAATTTTGGACCTTAATGTAGATGGGCACCATGAAGGAAGAGATGTGGGAGCACTCAGCTTCACTGACAAAGATGTGAGTTGTTTAAGAGGGCCAGTGACACATTGGTGGAAAATGATGGAATTAGGCGACTTTTTACATGCCTGAGGGGTTCCCAGTGATCCTATTTCATGAATGCCATCAATACAGTATGATATTGATGGCAGTGTACTGGTTACAGAGAATAAAAGCCTTATCCTCAAAGCACAGGTGACCCATTTGAACTGCCAACTTACCTATCTTTGAAAAATAGATCTGCTAAGTTGTATCTAATTTATAGGATAGATCTACAGTCTACACTCTCCCTATGACTGTTGCATCTACAGAGCAAAGCTAATCCAAGCTCAACTTTTTAAAGATCTTCCAAAAAACAATTTAGCAGGGTAATTATATAAATAGCTTTACAGCAAAATAAACCAAGAACCAAAAGCTTTAAGTAAAGGGTAGTGAGATTTATTATTCTCTGGGGATCAATCTGGGCTAAGGGTCTTTGCTCTTGGAGTTAGAGTTTCAGGTTGTGGGGTTTGATACGGTTACTCAGAACGCAAGCACTTCGTTCTAACCATTAGAGAACCACTGGCTAAGGAACAGTAAAATGTCTTTGCCTATTTTCAGGAAAAAATATATATTTTCATTATTCAAATATGGGCTTTATGTTTAATCAGTAGATTTTAAGTCTGTTTTTGCACAAATAAACTGATCATTATTCATCGAAGTTTTTTTTTTCTGTTAGTTCGTGTTCTTGCACTAAAGATTCTTTTTGTACATTGCTGTTGAACTGTGTGGAACAAGAAATAAGAGATCGAATAATAACATTTATGCTTTGCAGTAGTTTTTCACAATATGCATTTTGCATAAAGATGAACGTGCGATCTTATGCAGCTTTTAGTCAATAATACAGCAGACCTTAACAGCTGATTGTCCTATCTTTGCATTGTGCACGTAATGCTTTTAAATGAAGCCAAGTCTTTGATTAGTGATAGATGTAATACTGTGTTAAGGTAAAATGTAACTTAGCCAGAGTGACAGAAATCTCTATGTGCATGTTACGTGAAGATTTGGCCAGGGGTAGCACAATAAGTTTCTTCTGGACTCGAACATAAACTAAAGGATCTTTAAGGTCAATTGATTTGCCTAACTTTACTTAACAAGTTATGCCAGTTGTTAAGCTAAAAGCATTTTACATTTTTTGTTAAACAAGTGTGCTATAACCAGCTTTAAGCTAATTTCTACAATCCTACATGCGGGAACAATGAGGCGTTTATTTATCTATTCTTAAGTCTTGTATACTCAATTTTGATGACTTAGACAACTTTTATTGTAATTTTTGTGCATACAAAATGAAATTTTATTTTGTAGAGCTTTCATGACATTCCTATTTCTTAAAGTGCAGCAGTGATCAAATGTGAGTGTGAGAAAAAACATGGTGCAAAAAATGCATTGATATGGAAGCTCAGAGCATTGAATATATATGGCGCAATTATGCAGTGTTTTGGTTTGGTGATGTCAGTGTGATGCAGAGTCTGTGACATGATTTAGAGTTTTCTCAACAGTTCAGATCTGGTTGTTGTCTCTTTTTTAAAAGTAATTTACAAGCTTCTTGTGAAGCTTCTCAAATATCTAGACTAGATTTATATTTTATTAGATATGTGTAGACAACATGCTAAGAAGTATTTATTTACTGTCAGAAAGAGACTCTTCCGCTTTAGTGTTTTAATGTATAATTAGGTTAATCTTAGAAAATAGCCTTTTCAAGCCATCAGGCCATTACTGTTTAGTCTTAGAACTTAAAATGTTTAATTTAATCTTTTCAAGCCTATTAAGAGAAAGCACAACAAACATGTTTTCTGATTCATTATCTTCATGAAAACATTGTTTTCTTCTCTGGGATAGAAAAAAAAGATTAATGTTCTCTCTTTTTAGCATTTCAGTACTTCCAGTTCTGCTGTCCATTAACAACAACATTATGATTTAATGGGTAATGTTAATGCTTTGTCAACCGTTCTAAAGAAGTTGAGTTGTAAAGTTTTTAATGTGTCAAGTTTATAGAAAAACTTTTGCTTTTCCTGTAGGCAAAACTAAAGTAAACACTTTCCTGACATGCACTTCATTCATCCTTGCTCGGTATCTCTTTCACTGCCGGTGATGTCAGTTCTTTACCTAACAATCAGTTCTTCTAGAAACTATTTAATTTGGGGATATACGCATTACAACCACAAACTTAAATACATTTTATTAGGATATCAAATAAAATACATGTGGTTTTAATGTGGAAGAAAAAACTAAAGATGTGTAAATTGAAGCTGTTTTCCAACTAACTTACTCTAAAATCTATTAAATTAAATCTGACCTAATCAGCTGCCTTCAAAATTCCCATAAATTGTCAAACCAAAAGTCTATTTGAGTGTCATTTGACTACTGCATATCAAGTTGTTTTCATGAAGGCCTCACAGGTTTGTTGGATAACATTAGAGAATAGACGGCATCATGATGTTCAAAAAGGAAAGCAGACAAACTGCAGATGAAGTTCCAAGGAGCACAGCATATGCCTATAAGAAAACAACTGAGGTGGCAGCTTTGCTGTGGGGGTGTGTTTATAAATCATTAAGTACTTAGAGTCGAGCAGTCACCATAAAGCTTGGCAAAACTTAACTTGACTGAATGGAAAGCATGATTTCCACATGTTGTACTATGGTGTATTTGTTGGCTTCAATTTGTTGGAAAATGAAGAGCAACTTTTCAGCATGATACACGAAGCACATCTAGAATTCATTTTCTGCTCAATCTTTTGGAATGAGAGTTATTTTCTAAACACCTCACAGATGATTGACTCTATTGTAAGCAGCCACACAAGTATTGACCAGGCTTGAATGGATTTGATATTCACTCAGAGTACTTTCACTGATTATCTCTCTCTCTGTGTGAGTGATGGTATGCTAATCAGCGAACTCACCTGGAGTGAGCCCCGTTGATCTGAAATCATTCCTCTTTTCCACAGTGACGGAGGCACCTTGCTGGGAGCACAGTTTAGCTGAATAGCTTTAGAAATGAGAGAAGCGGTTAATGGAAATGCACAAAAACAGGTGTGGGATCCGTCGCCACAGGGGCGCTCTTCCAGTATCCTTACTGGGACCACAGTTCATACATGAAACACACAAACTGCAGCTAACTGACTGACATATCATAAAAAAATTTATGAAAAGGGGGATACATTGTCTTAAAAACTGCAAAATACCCTCAGATACAGTAATTTCTTGTTAGATAATACAGAAAAATCCAGCATTGTGAAAATGTTCTCTGACCCCCTGCCTATTTGTGCCTGTGTGTTGTAGAATACATGACTATTCTGTTGCTTTTCTGGAGTCGTGGCTGCAATAAGAACTTACATAGAATTCGCCATAAAGATATTCATATTTCTTGAAATGCATGACTTGTATTATGCAACCACCTCCCTGCTCTGATACTCCGGAATATATTGCAGTGCAGCAAATCACAAAAGTATCTTGTTCCTAAAAGTGGCTTTAGGTATAGAGCGTTAATTAATTGGTTGTACTTAACACCTGTGGATTGGTTAACAGGTGTAATCAATTGTAAAAGACACCAATTAACAAACAAAAAAAGTAAAAACCCCTTTTGTTTAGGCGACATCATTTTATTACATGTACATATTACCTAATTTTCAGATAATATGGATGTTTTATTAACTAACTTTAATATGAAACCTTGTCGGTTTTTTGCCCCTATTACAAATTAGTTATACCTGTAATTCATTTTTAATTCTATATGCACCACAGATTGTTTATTCATATTAAGTTGTGTTTTTCTTTTCAGAACCATGCAGCCAGCTACCCTTTTTTCTACACCACAGTTAGGCTCAGCAACCTGCTCCTGTGTTCAGGGGCGGATTTAGGAAATTTGGGGCCCTAGGCAACTGCCTAGTATTGCCTAATGGTAAATCCCCCCCTGCCTGTGTTAGACATATAATGAACAGCGTGGCTGTTGGTCTGATGGGTCGACCTCTTAAATATCAAACCAAGATCAGAACATGGATCAAAAAGCAAAACTGTTTGGAGTCTGATCCACTGATCAAACAGTAATCATCCTGGGTGAGCAGACAATAGTTATCCCTGAAAATGAATACCCTGAAAATTCTCTTTCTTACAGCATAGTCTCAGCATTCATCACGCACCTTTGTGCATGAGTGGTTTGGTAGTATTCAAATGTTTACAGCAAGCGGTATGAATTCTTCACACCTTGTTACATTAAAGTGTTGATCAGTGATATGTATACCTAAGTTTGTGTTGTTGAGTAAATATTCAAATATTGTGTAAAGTATCCTTTTGGGTTTAAGCTTGCCTATGAACTTCTTATTTT